ACGCATGGCCCTTTTCCAGGAAAAGCATGTGGTTCTGCAACACATAGCAGATCCTGGTGAAGTCAGGGACTTCCTCCACCAGATTCAAACAAAAGGAAGCTCCATCGCCAAACCTTATCATCAGATTTACTCTCTTTCCATCCCAGACCAGATCACATTGATCAACTTCCTTGTTCATCTTTGGGAGACACAAAGACTCAGAATGACTCTCCTCATCCCAGCCTTCTGCTAGGGCAAAGCCCCACTTGGTGTCCAAGACGAACCTGCAACAAGTCTTTTCCATCATGAGGGGTCTTTGGTCCATGCTCACTGGCCATGACTCGCGTGTCTTAGTCTTTGGACAGTGATGGGGAACAAAAACAAGGTACCATCCAAACCTACCTGGTCAAGGGAATGGCTTAAAACAGAGAACTGAGTCGCCTGCTTCAGTCCAATGTCATGTTTAGAAAATGGCTGGTCGATCTGAAAGAATCGCTGGGAGCACCTTCCCTGCCAAAAACGTTCCGTTCATGTGGTTCTGCTTCAGGCACAAACACCATGCACCTGATTCAAGTGTTGGATGAGCAGAAACTCAGCAGAAGTTCTGCCTGAGTCATGCCCCGTGCACCCCCCTGGATCTCATCTCCAAGCGCTGCGAACGCTACGCGGTCTTTGTTCCGGTGTTTGCAAGAGATCATGTTGACAAGGGCAGTAGTCAACAGTCAGTTTCAAACTGGATGTGACCATGCCTAATAGCCAACTTATATATAGCTAATCACAGGGGGCATGGTCAAAAGCACCTGTCCAAGCACCTGTCCATGGAACACTTTGTATTGGCCACAACAAGTAGGACTCTTCAGTGTCCAAAGAGTACTGCTCATGTGCTGTTCTTGACCACACCTTATATACACATCGGTCAAACCAGAGAGACACACAGGTGCAGTCACGCGCAGTCCTTCCTTTGAGTAAGGTCATGTAACGTAGACTGGATTAATAAAAGGGAGGTTTGTATAATCAAGAGTCTACATTACATGCATTAGCCGCTGACTTGCTTTTGCAAAAGAAGGTATTGTGTTCATTGAACTATTGAAGGCCATCTTCCCGTCCTTCCCTCCCCAGGGAAGCTTCCTCCAGCTGACTTGATTCAGGTGATAGACTTGGGAAAGATCCCAAGGAGGTGTCGTCATCCAACACTTCTCCGATGTCCAATAACCAGAGTGTCGTGTTTTTCTACATGGTTGAGGGACAGCACAGAAACGCCACAGAAACAGCGCTTGCTAGCTGGATGCTTTCAAACACCAAAACCTGTAAAGCTAAAACGGGTTGGCCGAAAAGAACCCGAAATCACCACTGGTGACTCTGGCGCACAAAGGATACTGCTCACAGGAAATTCGTCACAGTTCGTCCCACTTTGTTGGAAGACTTGCTCATGCCCTCAGCAGAAAAAAAAATAGATGGTTTCTTCACTTCTTCCAGAACTCAAACCCTCTCAAGTTCATCGCAACGTCGCACAGAACTGCATGAAGAACCTGCATGTGATCTGCAAGTTTCTTCTCTCTAAGACTCCGAAAGATGCTTGAGAGACTCCTCTTTCTATATAGTTTGCCGAAAGAAAAGGGCTTGGGATGGCGGCACGCTGGCTTGGGATGGCCTTGTCTCAGAGCGTTGGCACCTGAAAAAATGATCTTTCAAGTTCTTTCTATTCAGATCCATGAAAACATGTGCAAGATCATCTCCATCCACCCGTTTGGCGGAGCATGATAAACCACCAAATCGGGTAAAACTGCCCAACCCAGCTGGCCGCCATGGCCGGAGAATGATTGAAACAGCACTCGAGGACTCCGTAGCGTGCTACTACGGGGTTTCCCGCCGTTGACCAAACCAAGCGGAGGACCAACAGAAATAGCATTGACCTTGTGGGAAATTGATGATCTGAGTCTACCGTCAACCGATAATAGGATGCACTATGCTGCCATGGAGTTTGTTCTGCTGTTCCAATATTAATGTATACCTGGTAAATGTTATGTGCTTCAGTTTCTTGAAAGAAACCGTTGGGCTCAATTTGTGCTGGATCTCACATGCTCAAATTCTACTGCCTTTCGATCACCAATCCCGCTGCGATTTGCAGGCGGCACACATTTCGCCAGTATATATTTGCAGCACTTTGGACATGATCATATTGTCAACCTCTGCTGCCACGCACAGCAATGTACAGATCTTTGGGAAGCCTGCTGGGTATTTATCGCGTTCTTTGCCTGCCTGTTTTTTTGGGTGCATGCTTGCTTCTTTGTTTCCTTGAGCTGCTTTGCTTCCTGCCTTGTTTTCTTCCTTGCTGCCATGTTTGCTTCCTTCTGTCACGTCCTTCTCTCGGCTTGCGCACTGGAGTGCTCCGGTGCTTCCGCTTCAGGCTCTCTGCTCAAAGCTCCTTCAAGTCTTTAAGACAAAAGTATAGAACACATTAGAAAATCATCCTTCTCAATATAACATCTAAACAAAGCATAGATTTCGACCGGATGGTGCCCCTGTGACGGAACGCTTTTCCGAGCACATCGGGCTTGGTCTGGGATTGACGGAAGGTCAAAAATTTGGATTCCTGGCTCCTTAGACTTCTTGAAGATGATGAGAAGTTCAATGAGGAACTGAAGCATCACACGGAATCTCACGTTTTACAATTCTTGCTTGGAAGTAACCAAAACTCGAATCTGGAATTCGGAAGGTTAGTAGTTGATTTGGGCCCTTTCAAAGCTTCCTTTCAGCGGATGCCAACCCTTGGGAATTGTGCTTTCGTGACTCAATTCCTGGAAGCTTTGTTGTTCGTTATTAGAGTGTCTTGAAATGAACTCTATGGACTATATATATGGCGCAGGCCTTTGGACACCTATTCGAGTCCTTTTGCCCCTTGATCACTGGTCACCCAACTTCTCCGATTTGGGATTCGGTCGGATCACTGCACCGACTCATCACAAGAAAGGCGTCCTTTCACAGCTGACCTCCCGCAGCTGTTGTCCTTTGACAATAATACATAGTAATAGTTAATGTGAACAGAAAAGGGAGAAAGGAAGGAATCATCTTGGATTGTTCCAAAATTGACAGAAGATTGAAAGGCTGGCCGGTGGCCACTTTCCTGTGTCCTGGAACCTTCTCGGGGACCTTTCCGCACGACTACAGGGTGTACCTGATAGGAAATCGGGGCGTGGGTCAAGCATTAAAAGAATCCAATCACATGGCTGTTTGTTCTCTGCAAAACTATCTCTTGCTTACGAGTCAGCCTGCTGCTTGTTGGTACAGCTTTGATATCCTCTGAATGAACTGTAAATGAGAAGCAAAACTGACTCGCTTGACCCTGAACCCTTGATCTATTCCATCTACCATAAGGGACAGCAAACCTACCTCTCCGGCTGCACTTTCGACCTACTGTATGCTACAATTCAGTCTATTCACCCTCACCTATCCACCAAACTATCCATCCACCCATCCATCCACCCATCCATCCATCAATCTATCTAGTCTATCGAATGTATCTGTTGATTGAGACTATCTATTGAATCTCTCTCTGTCTCTCTGTCTGTCCCTCTCTTTGTTTCTCTGTGTATCCATCCATCAGTCCGTCCGATTGTTCGTTGGTCTGTCTGTCTAATCTATCCTTATAGAAACTAATCTACTGTAATCTAATCTCATCTATCTCATCTCATCCCATCGAATCTACTCCAATCTAATCTCACTTAGTTCTCTATCTCTGTATCAGTCTCTACATCAATCTCTCTGTCTCTGTTACTCTCTCTCTTTCTCTCTATCACTCTCTTTCTGCCTGCCTGTATGTCTATCCATCCCCGACTCCCATCTTTTTGTTTGTTGATACATGAACTGAAAAAGAATAGGCTGAGAACGGTATCGTCTTTCTGCTGGTGGCATGGACAGAGTGCATCAGAGCGTTAGCTATTTTAGCTATTGAATCTGATAGAACCTAATTTAGTCAAAGCAATTCTGATCTATCTAACCTGCCTCATTTACCAAATCCACTGTCCTATCCAATCTATGCCATCTATCTCTTCGCGAATCTATGTCATCATGAACCTAAGGTATCTGGCAAAACTTCCACGTTGATGCTGATATCCAGTTTGGGGCATCACGTGCAGACCTTGAGAAGTAGATCATCTTCGTGCAGGCGGCCAAAGCCCTGCTCGGGCAGTGACCCAGAGCAGATGCTCAGGCACTGGGAGAAACCATCAGCCGCGGCAACCCCCAAACCCTCCACGCTGTTGCAAGGTTCCCCCAAACTCGAGCTTTTGATCAAGTCGGAGAAAACCTCCAATCCTTGAATCTGGGGATCAATATGGATCAACGGACTTCATGGAATCCTCGCGGTGTCCATTTCGGAGAAAAAATCTTCCTCAGACGTCCAAAGGTGGCGGAATCGTTGAGACGTCAAGACTTTTGTGGATGGTTCTCCCGGTCTATCGCCGGCTATCCCAGAACTTCAGATCTGAACTCCCTGATCGCACACGACACCTTCACGTGGTCAAAGCTGGGATGGAGACGATCCTGGGAGGACAGGTGTGGGCAAAATGATGTGCCTTTTGCGCTCATCCAACAAACCCTACTCAAACAAGGATCTAAGGATATCTAAGGCTACAATCTAAGGATTTTCGTGGCCAAAAGCTTTGCCCCAGCACGATGGATCAAATGGCTACGTCGCTCAGGTGGTTCAAGCAAGGAGTCAAACCGCTCTGCTTAGCAGCTGTTTTCAGGTCGACAAACTTCCCTCGCACGTCAACAAAGGGTGGAAAGTCACGTTCCCGACAGCAAGGACGCCTCCCCAACATAGCAACCACCCGGAAGAGGAAATCTTCCAAATTCCTCTATGCTATTTCGGTGGAGGGTCGTCTTCATCCAATCCACACCGACCCAGAATTGATCGATGTTTCACCCCAATTTCACCGGACCCATCGACGTAGGACTCGTTCGATCTACGCGCTTTTTCGACGCACAACCCGACATCGACCGATAAACGACTGACATGGTCAAGACTCCAGATAAAGTATGTCTCGAGCCACTCTGTCCAGGTGAAAGACGTACAAGGACCTGGTCTGATCTGACAAGCTCACAGTGCTGCACATGATCCGCCGCCGCAGATGCACCGGCGTGTAGAGGCCGCGATAGCCCTGCATCGCCGCCAAGACTAAGCTCTGAACAATGGAGCCTCGAAACGAGGACCGTGTGAGGGATCAGCAATTGATTCCCATGGCTGAAGGCCATCCCTATTGGGTCGGAGGCCATCGCTATTAGGTTGGAGGCCATCGCTAGTGGGTTGGAGGCCATCGCTATTAGGTTGGAGGCCATCGCTATTGGGTTGAAGGCCATCGCTAGTAGGTTGGAAGTCATCGCTATTAAGTTGGAGGCCATCGCTATTAGGTTGGAGGCCATAGCTATTAGGTTTGAGGTCATCGCTATTAGGTCGGAGGCCATTGCTATTGGGTTGAAGGCCATCGCTAGTAGGTTGGAGGCCATCGCTATTGGGTTGAAGGCCATCATCGCTATTAGGTTGGAGGCCATAGCTAGTAGGTTTGAGGCCATCGCTATTAGGTTGGAGGCCATCACTATTAGGTGGGAGACCATCGCTATTAGGTTGGAGGCCATCGCTATTAGGTTGAAGGCCATCGCTATTTGGTTGGAGGCCATCGCTATTAGGTTGGAGGCCATCGCTATTAAGTTGGAGGACATCGCTATTAGGTTGGAGGCCATCGCTGTTGGGTTTGAGGCCATCGCTATTAGGTTGGAGGCCATCACTAGTAGGTTGGAGGCCATCGCTATTAGGTTGGAGGCCATCGGTATTAGGATTGAGGTCATCGCTATTAGGTCTGAGGCCATCGCTATTGGGTTAAAGGCCATCGCTATTAGGTTTGCGGCCATCGCTATTGGGTTGGAGGCCATCGCCATTAGGTTGGAGGCCATCCCCATTGGGTTGGAGGCCATCGCTATTAGGTTTGAGGTCATCGGTATTAGGTTGGGGGTTATCGCTATTAGGTTGGAGGCCATCGCTAGTAGGTTGGAGGGCATCGCTATTAGGTTGGAGGCCATCACCATTGGGTTGGAGGCCATCCCTAGTAGGTTGGAGGCCATCGCTATTGGGTTGGAGGCCATCGCTAGCAGATTGAAGGCCATCGCTATTAGGTTGGAGGCCATTACTATTAGGTTGGAGGCCATCGCTATTAGGTTGGAGGTCATCGCTATTAGGTTGGCCATTAGGTTGGAGGCCATCGCTATTGGGTTTGAGGCCATCGCTATTAGGTTGGAGGCCATCGCTAGTAGGTTGGAGGCCATCACCATTGGGTTGGAGGCCATCGCTAGTAGGTTGGAGGCCATCGCTATTAGGTTGGAGGCCATCGCATCGCTAGTAGGTTGGAGGCCATCGCTATTAGGTTGGAGGCCATCGCTATTGGGTTGGAGGCCATCGCTATTGGGTTGGAGGCCATCGCTA